TTCTGTAAGGAGTTTGGGAAGGTCAAGTTTAGTGGACTTGGACAAAACTTTGAGCGTGTTGTCAAAGCTCTGGTCGAGTTAGAACGTTTTGGGTACTTAGATTGGATTGTCGTTTAGTTTGTATCTCAGATATCTTTCACAATGGCTTCAGGCTCTCGTTACGCCCTTCTGGCAGAGGATGACTTTGAGTCAGACGACCCGGGCCCATCCAATCACCCGGGACCATCACAGGCACACACCCGCCCGGCTTCACCCACTGCCACGCTTCAAGCGTACCCAGAAATTCAATGGATCTACGCCGGTGTTGAGTACGATTCGTTGGAAAACGCTATCCGTGCCTCGGCAGATAGCTTAGGCATCAACAACCAGGCTTACGTCGACTGGACTATCTCCGTAACAAGGGACATCACACGGCGCGAAGTGGTCAATGTCTACAACGTCCTCGGTGGCAAGATATATGAACATCGGAACGATTTCCTCAATGAGTGTGACACCACCCACGCCACCCTCAAAGAGTTGGATGCGTCTATGACAGGCCTTCACACCAAGGCTGACACTGCTGGGAACCTCGCTCTCAAAGCTGTGGAAGAGAACAAACAGTTGAAGGCGGAGCTGGTCACTGTCAAAGCGGACCTGGAGGTTCTCAACCGGAACAATACGGAGCTCGTCAAACGGTACAAGGAACTCGCGGCCAAGTTTACACAGTTGGAGCAAGGCCTGTCGACCCGCACCACGCTTGGTATCAGTACCGCCCCGGTCCCTGTCATATCACAGGCCTCGCGTATCAAGGCATCAGAACCACCCAAGTACAAGGGCAACAAAGGCTCGGACATCACTCTCGAACAGTGGTTACAGAAGATGGGCCTTTGGTTCCGTGTCCAGAACATCACCACGGACGATGACAAGATTACCCTGGCCCTCATGTACTTGGAAGGCGGCGCGCACGACTACGTCGAGGACTACGTCGAGACAGCATCGAACGGTGGAACCCTTGGATCCTGGACCGACTTCGTCAACCGACTCAAGGCAGGCTATCGTCAACTGGCTCCCGAGAAGACCGCGCAAACATCCCTCGAGGAGTGGTGCTCAAAATCTCACTCCACGGTCATTCAGTTCGCCGAGAACTTCCACCGCTACACATCGAAATCTGGTTACGCTGATGTAGAACTCATCCGACGCATCGATAACCAGGTCGGCAAGAACTCGCAGATTCTTACGGTTATGACGGCAATGCGGCAAGTCAACCCGATGCTGATTCCGACGAAATGGGAGCACTACCTGGACTGGGTACTGAAGCTGGAAATGGAAACTCGGGGAAATCAGGCCAAGTCGTCTTCGCAGCAACACATGACCAGTCACCCCCCACGGGACCCCAATGCCATGGATGTCGACGCAATGCGCAAGCCGGAGAAGCTCTCCAAGGAACAACTCGAATGGCTCGACAAGAAGCTCTGTTTCCGCTGTGGCAAGCACAAGTTTACGACTGGCCAGAAATGTCGGAACCCTCAGTACACGGGCTACTACGAGCTCCCCGACATGAAGAAGCAACCGGCCGCTCCCACCAAGGTATGCACAATGGACATGGCCGATGAAGACAAATGGGAGTACATCCGCAGGGCCCTAGAGGAGTTTGAGACCACCAAGGGAAAAGGCAAAGGCAAGGCACCGGAAACTGAGACCGCCGCACGCATCGTCGAGGTCAAGGAATCCGAGGAGGATTTTCTGGAACGGGTACTTTGAAGACTGACCAAAGTATCCGACTCTGTAATCATAGCGTAGACCTAGAGGACTCTTTTGTTCCGCGTTCGAATGTTATCTATCTCGCATCAGCACGTCGCCTGCGAAATTTGTTCGATCTCAAAGTTTCCCTCACTCAAGGTACGCATGAAGTTCAGTCAGAAGCCCTGCTCGACTCAGGAGCCTACTCTTGCTTTATCCATCACCGGTTTGTTCAAGAACACGGACTCACCCTACGACGCCTCTCTCGTGAAGTGCGAGTTTTCAATGCAGACGCCACCGAGAATAAGAAGGGGTTGATCACACACTACGTCCGTTGTTTACTCCGTATCGGAGATCACCTCGCCTAGCAGTCGTTCCTTGTCACAGATATTGGGCGGCAAGACATCATCATTGGCATGGCGTTTGTACGTGAACATAACCCTGAACTCGATTGGAATGCAGGGAACATTGAGTTTACACACTGCCCCTCAACATGCACCCAGCACACAGTGCAGGATGAAGAACTACGGAGTTTGCAACTTCCCCGAGTGGAAGATGTTGCACAAGATCAGTACGGTGACCTCGGCCCTGAATCCTGGGAAAGCACCGATCAGTTTATTCATTGGGTGAACTTCTCAGATGACCCGAGTGCGCGTCAGATGCGAGCCAGGTTAGAAGAGAAAAAGGATACCAACCCTGCAGCAAAAGGCGAACAGGACCGCGAATACTGGTCAAACCATGTACCAGAACAATACCGGCAGTATGGCGACGTCTTTTCCAAGACAGCCTCGGAAAGAATGCCAACATGGAAGCTATACAATCATGCAATCGAACTAGTCCCTGGAGCCTCACTCCCCAAGCCGGCCAAATTGTACCCGCTCAACCTCGACGAGCGGAACTCGCTTGAAGCTTGGATCACAGAGCAAGAAGACAAAGGCTACATCCGCACGTCCAAGAGTCCTACTGCCGCCCCAGTCTTCTTTGTCCGTAAGAAAGATGGAAGTTTACGTTTGGTCCAGGACTATCGCGCACTGAACGCGGTCACGAAGAAGGACAAATTTCCGATCCCCCGGATCTCAGACCTTGTGGATAGGCTTTCGCACGCATCGATCTTCACCTCACTCGACCTAAGGTGGGGCTACAACAATGTTCGCATTCGTGAAGGAGACGAAGAGAAAGCCGCGTTTATCACTCACAAGGGACTGTATGAACCAACAGTTATGACCTTTGGCCTATGCAATGCACCCAGCTCGTTCCAAGCAATGATGAATGAGGTCCTAAAGGAAGAAATTGCGACCGGACATGTCGTGGTCTACATCGACGACATCCTCATCTTCACAGATGACCTCACTCTATATCGCCAACTGGTAGAACGGGTCCTGAAGAAGCTGCGCGACAACGACCTCTTCGTCAAACCTGAAAAGTGCAAGTTTGAACAGCCCTCGGTTCACTTCCTCGGACTTGTCGTATCAAAGGATT